AAAAAAAAAAAAGAAAGAAATACCATGAAGCCATGAAAAAAATGAGGGAGGGACATACGTATATTGACATGGAAACTTAACCACATGTATTTAACCATATTTTGTTAAATGAAAACTGCTTGTCACAAGGCAGTATGTGTAGTATAAAACATTTCTGTGGGAAAAATAATGATAGTATGGTTTAATAATACGTGTGCACAGGAATAAATCTATAATCAGAAAAAAACTGCAGTCATAAACAGTAGCTTTTTAAAAGCACAACTGTCTTATCCTTTAGGTTAAGAAATGTTGATAAATTAAGGCAACATTCCATTTTCTCCTAACATTTTATTCTTAGTCCTACTAAAATACGACATAACCGTCTTTCCGTGTTATTTTTTTTTACAGTTGTTGAAAAGCTCAGAGAAATGATGGAAGAAATTGAAAATGCGATTAACACTTTTAAGGAAGAGCAGAGGTTGATGTATGTTTTAAATTCATTTTGATATAAAATTATTGACCTTTATTTTTCGTTACCTCTCCACTAGGTTGTTGTACACAAGCCATTTTATTGTTCTGTATTTAATATTAGTCTTACACAAGAGCAATATAGCACCTCTCTTCTTTTGTTTTAGGTTTCAGATTGCTTTTCATGTTTCAAGTGAATTTTCACTTATATTTGGACAAGATAGAAAACCCAAATAAGAATTTGAAAGATGGTTTTTTTCCCCTCTGAGGAAACTCTTTTAAGGCTTAGATTTATAATGTTAATAATTTTAAGTCGAGAAGATGACACATAAAGAGTCAGGAATAATGAAATTTGAGGGGAAAAAAGGCAAGGTCGATATGGATTGGTTTGTATCTTATTATTCAAAGTTTACCTTTAAAATTTCAGATATGAAGAGCTTCTTAAAGAAGAGAAAACCACCAATAATGAGTTGAGTGCCATATCAAGAAAAATCGACATGTGGGCTTTGGGTAACTCAGGAGCAGAGGCAGCTTTCAGAGCCATGTCAGGCAAGCTTCCTGTAGACAGAGAAGTGCTGAGCACTCTTCCAGAAGAAGTGGTAGATTTCGAAAAATTCCTTCAGCAAACAGGAGGGCGACAAGGGGGCTGGGATGACTATGACCACCAGAACTTTGTGAAGGTGAGAAACAAACATAAAGGGAGGCCAACGTTCATGGGAGAAGTTCTAGAAAACCTTTCTGGAAGAACGCAGGAGGAAGTTCAGCAGCACGAGAAATGGTATCAAAAATTTCTGGCCCTGGAAGAAAGAAAAAAAGAGGTAATAATCACAACAATAGCTATTACTTGTATGTTTCTGTCTTCCAGGCACGATGCTAGACTCTTTAACATGGATCATTAACTTTACAATCACTCGTGAAGTGTGTTTATAGTCCCCCACCCCACTGTCCTATAGAAGAGAAATTGAAGCAGTGAGAAGTTAAGTAATCTTACCCAGCTAAGGGAGCACCAGTTGAACTTCTTCAAGGCCAAACATTTCTACCCTAAGAAATACAACGGGCCAGAAAACTTCTGATGGTGGGCAAAAACCCCCCTGTGTCCGCCTGAAATGTGGGAAATCCAGAACTACTTAGGTTTTTGGTAAAAGTCATCTTACCACCAAGGCCTGATTGTTTTCAAGAGAAAATAAAAAGGAAGTAGGGAAAGACTCTTTGATTCTTAAATGTTTCTTGGAGTTTTGGAGCTTACGCCTCATTGTTTATTTTAAAAGACTCAAGATGTTGACTACCCCAGAGGAAAGAGTAACTCTTACTGGTAGCAATACCTAACAGGTTCCATTTTCACAATAATATTACTCTGGCATTGGTTTAAATCAGGACTTCTCAACCTTGGCACCGTGAACTCTTTGGGCTGGAGACTTCTTTGCTGTCCTGTACATTGTAGATGGTTAGCAGCATCCCTAGCCTCAACCCTCTAAATGCCAGTAACACTCCCTTAAGTTGTGATCATCAACAATGTCTCCATACATTACCCAGTGCCGCCTGGATGGCAAGAATTGCCCCTGGTTGAGTACCATGGGTTTAGATAGTCTGAGTCTGAGTCCCTTTTTTGTAGACTTCCACTATAATAAACATCAGCTAGCTTGGTTTGACAGCAAAAGTATGATTGTTCAACAGATGACGTACCTAAGGAGCATTAAAGAAATGTCGATTGCACATTTAATTTAAAATTTTAGAGAAAATAACTAGGGTTCATTTGTTGTTTTTTTTTCCCTTCAAAATAAGTTGAATGTAGGAAAATTGACATTTGAGACTCTAAGAAAATTTTTTTAAATAAGTTTTTTTTGTTTTTTAGAGAGAGTGTGCAAATGTGCAGTCATGGAGGGGGTGGGGAGGGCAGGAGGGGCAGAGGGAGAGGGAGGATCTTAAGCAGGCTCCACATCCAGCACGAAGCCCATCACCGGGCTCAGTCTCATGACCCTGAGACCGTGACCTGAGCCAAAATCAAGAATCAGACGCTTAACCGACCGAGCCACGCAAGCACCTCGAAACAAGTCATTTTTAAAAATTCAAAATAATGAGCTGTTTAGAATTATTTGGGCTTTTTTCCCCAGGATACTGAAAACATGGGGTCCCTGGACCAGCAAAGTCAGCATCACTAGGACTTGTTAGAACTTTCTGGGCCCCAGCCCCAGACCTAATCTGAACTCTGGGTGTGGGGAGCAATCTATGTGTTCACAAGGCCACTGGGTTATTCCGTTACGAGCTCAAGTTTGAGAGCCACCGCTCTAGGGAAAGCAGGCACAGTGCTTCTTGTAATAAAGGTGAACCACCTGGATTCTAGCTCACTCTTCTTCTCAGTCTGTTTCCTGTTGTTTGACACCTGATTGAATGTAGGAGGGAGGTAGGTGGGGTGTCAGGTTGAGGGGCTGTTTACTGAAGTAGGACATGTTGGAGAAGAGGGAATTTTGGGGGAGAGCCTCAGGAACGTAGTTTTAACTCTACTGAGTTTAAGATGAGTAGGAAGGTGCCTGGCTGGCTAGTAAGTGGAGCGTGCGACTCTTCATCTCAGGGTTGGGAGTTCGAACCTCACGTTGGGTCTGGAGATTACTTAAAAATAAAATCTTTAAAAAAAAAAAGGTGATGAGTAGGTGATTTTCCATTTTTATCTCCCACTTCCCTTAACATGTCCTGTGTTTTGCCCAACTGAAGATAATGATTTTCAGACGTGCTCTGAACTTTCTGGCCCGAGCACCCTTGCTTGTCTTGTTCTGTCTTTCTGGAGCCTCCATTCTTTCTTCCCCCCCTCCAGTGCCAGCCCATCAAAATCTGCCCAGGTCAGATGCTACTTCCTGCTTGCCCACTGAGACACAGGAAGTCCCTGCAGAATTCACAGACACCTCGTGTATACCTCTTTTTTTTTTGAGATAGAGTGAGTGTGAGCAGGGGGCAGAGGGAGGGCAGAGGGAGAGGGAGAGAGAGAATCTCAAGCAGTCTCCATACCCAGCACTGAGCCCAAACCCGGCCTCGATCCCATGACCCTGAGATCATGACCGGAGCCAAAGTCAAGAATCGGACACTTAAGCAACTGAGCCACCCAAGTGCTCCTTGTTTACATGTCGTCTTTGACATGCTAGTGCACATATATGTGCTAGTGTTTATGCATGTACCTTATCTCACCTGGAGCTGTGCTACTCAAACTTGGTCCATGGACTAGATGTTAGTTTGTAAGCTGTTGCTGGTTTCCAGTAGGATAAATCGACTACACCAGAATCAGCTACTCAATAAGCACACTGTTTAGTTAAGTTCACTTTTTTTTTTTTTCTGTAGAAAACTTTCTCATTGAAGGAAGTAGTACACTGATTTACATTCTGGCGTGAATTGCTGATATTTTTGTGGACCTGCACTTTGAGAGACTCTGTTCTAGATGGCACTTGGTACTGTTTTAATTATCTGTGGCTCCTACCACCTTGCATATAGTACACGTACCACAGGGATTTATCTCATGAATGTATGATACACCATGAGAAAAGATGACGAAACAGTGTCCTGACTGGAGGGGAAAGTCATTCAATAGATGTATCCTTTATGGCTGCTAGCAGGCTGCTAGAATTTTAAATAATATTTATATACCCATAAATGCAATATAGCAATTTTACCTTTTTTTTCACACTCGTGAATCAGTATGTGCCAGGCACTGACTCACTGAATCTTCACAACAACGCTGTTTGAGAGGTACTACCCAGTGCCTTTACAGATAAGCAAAATGAGGTCAGAGAAGCTTCGTGACTCATGCAAGAGCACACCTACTAAACGGCAGAGCCAGGATTTGGTCCCAGACGGCTGGCTTCAGACCCATGCTCTCAAGCAGCCCACCTGTAATTCCTCTTCTGATATTTGACAAAGAAAAAGTCACTCAAAGTATTCTAAGCCTAGACAGAGGATTTGGAAGCAGAGTGAGATAATCAGAAGAAAGAGATGTTCCCTATGAACGCAAATGAAGGGGGTAAAGGAGAGTAGGCCACTTGATGAGGTACAGTCTTTGTGAGCCTGGGGATTGAGAGGAAGAAGAAGACCAAAAGGTACATCATTGGGGCGCCTC